CAGTGGTGGTGCAAAGCTTTTTTATGCATGTGAGGAGCAAAGGCTGGTGCAATTCAATCGATGAACTGCTCTGGCTGAAAATGCAGAAACGTTATGCTGGTTTTAATCAAAAGCTGTCAGGACACCGTGCACAGCAGTTTGTTGTGTATGGGGCTGCAGAGCCGCAGACCAGTCAGGGTGCCTGTGCCGCAATATCCACTGCAGAAAGTGGCAACAATGGGCACACGAGCATCAGGACTGGACCATGGTCCGAGCATTGAGGCCTGGGCTGATGAATCACACTTTCTTTTACTTCACATGGATGGCTAGGTGTGTGTGTGTGTCGCACACCTGGGGAACACCTGGCACTACGGGAAGAAGGCGAGCCGGCGGAGGCAGTGTGATTCTTCATGGCTTCGGCATCTTTCAGCAGGATAATGCATCTTGCTACGAAACAAAAAAGACTTAAGAATATTTCAAATTCAATCCAGTTAAGCAACTTTCGGATTTGCTGGATAAGGAAGTCCAACACATGGAGGCTCTACCCGGCAACTTAAAGGATCTGTTGCTAACGTCTTGGTGCCAGATACCACAGCATATCTTCAAGGGTCCGGTGGACTCCATGACTTGATGGGTCACAGCTGTTTTGGCAGTAAAACAGCCGTCTAGTCTGTTTTTGCTTTATAAAGCATTTATAAATGAAATTTATTGAAGTACAGTGAGACGCAAATAAGCGTCGGTTATTTTCTCAATAGAGAAATGACACAGACAAAGCACAAAAAGATACAGAACATAAAAATATTTATTTCCAGATGCAAACAGAATACTGTAATGTAGGTAGGGTCAGAGTAATAATATGATCTCTCTCTCCAGCGTGTCCTGGGTCTGCCCCGGGGCCTCCTGGTGGGACATGCCCGGAACACCTCCACCAGGAGGCGCCCAGCAGGCATCCTTATCAGATGCCCGAACCACCTCAACTGGCTTCTTTCGATGTGGAGGAGCAGCGGCTCTACTCTGAGCTCCGCCCGGATGTCCAAACCCCTCACCCTATCTGTAAGGGAGACACCAGCTACGCTTTGGAGGAAGCTCATTTCCGGCGCTTGTATCCGCAGTCTCGTTTTTCCGGTCCCTACCCACAGCTCGTGACCAGAGGTGAGGGTGGTGACGAAGATCAACCGGGAAATTGAGAGCTTGGCTTTTACACTCAGCTCTCTCTTCACCAAAACAGACCGGTACAGCGTCCGCATCACTGCAGCCGCAGCACCGACCCGTCTGCTGATCTCCCTTCTCCTGTCACTCCTGAACAAAACCCAGACATACTTAAACTCCTTGACTTGGAGCCAGAGATCTCTGGCCCCAAGTCAATCCGATCACTTTTCACTTTTCATCCGATTACTTTTTTCAAGTAACGAGTAAAGTAAGGGATTACTATTGCAAAAATGGTAATTAGATTACCGTTACTTCCCGTAGGAACGCTGAGTTACTGCGTTACTAAAACCGTGATTTTTTGCGAGAATGTCTCATGACAGTGACGTAAGCAAGTGCGACGTTCGTGACAACAGCTGTGTGCAGATCAACAATGGATCATATATCGAGTGCAGAGAGAGTATGAGCGTGCAGCGTTT